AGTATTGAGGTCCCTGTCCCTTTAAGGCTTCCAAAAAGCACTCACCAAAACAAAAGGGAAAAACGCGCAATTTTCTTTGTCCTCAGGTGCCGGTCTCAGGCACCTGCTCACCGGTCCCACTGTCCCGCCTCCCCAGTATTGGGGTCCCTGTCCCTTTAAGGCTTCCAAAAAGCACTCGCCAAAAAAGAAAGGGAATAAATACTCGATATTCTTTGTCCTCAGGTGCCGGTCTCAGGCACCCGCTCACCGGTCTTGCTGCCCTGTTTCCGTAGTATTGGGGTCCCTGTCCCTTTAAGGCTTCCAAAAAGCACTCACCAAAAGAAAAGGGAAAAACACGCGATTTTCTTTCTTCTCAGGCACCGGTCTCAGGCGCCCGCTCACCGGTCTTACTACCCTGTTTCCCTGCTATTGGGGTCCCTGTCCTTTTAAGGCTTCCAAAAAACACTCGCCAAAAAAGAAAAAAAACTGGTCCGGTTTCTTTCCACCCACCGGGAGCCGGGGGGAGGGGCGCTTGGGTTCTCCCGGGCCAGGGCTTGTATCTTACCCCCTTCACGAAGCGCTGGGTTCTCGCAGGTGTGGATGTGGTCTGGATGTTGTCCTGTGTCCTCTGGTCTCTATTTTAGGAAGAGTTGTCTTTATTATATTTTCATAATTCTATGTGGTTTTGGGAGGAGAGTTCCACTGCTCTACTCATGCCGCCATCCTGGCTCCACCCCCTCTCTACTTTTGTATAATTTTGAAATAATTTTTTTAAAGGGAGTAAAAATGATTAGTCCAGTATAGGCCAGGCTAGTTTAACATTCCAATTTCAAATCTGAATCAAATTTCCTCTCTTCCCATCTCCAAGAGCTGGGCAGACTTTGATTCGCTGGGTGGCTGGGAGTGGGGAGGGGTGTGGGTTAGGTTCAAGGACATCCTCTTTTCTGCCCCATCTGGGCCTGACCCCGTTGGTGCTGGGGCTCCAGAGTGGGCCTGTCGGGTGTGATGGGCTGCTTGTCACGGGTGGAAAGTGCCTTGTTCTCACTCTGGCCCAGCCTAGTTCTGTATGCTGCTGGTTTTTTGGGGGAGCTTGTTCAGGGGCCCCGTTTATTACAGAGGATCCTTCAGAGAGAGCCATCTGTTGAGACTTCCTGCCAGGAGTACCTCCAATTCCCTTCCCTTCCTTTGGCAGCCCCACCATTGGCCCTGCCGACCCCCCACAGCCGCATTCCTCCACCTGAATCCCAGAATGAGCCACAAAGGAGGGTGATGGTGGGGGGAGAGGCCTGCAGACCCCACTGTAGCCCCTCCTTACCTTGCTGACTCCGTTGCTCCAGCCAGCCTCTGGGAAAAGGCAGGGACTCATGTCTCAGGCCATACATGTCCTCAGATCCAGGGTATTCACATCTGCCTCCCCTCCTTCCACTGAAGTAACTACACTGTGATTTTTAGCTTAATGGGGTGCAGCCAGTCTCCTCACCCTGCCTGCACTCCTTCTGGCTCCCAGAGGAACACACCTTAATAGCTTTTCAGTGTGTGGAGTATTTCTCTGCACACATCACACCAACAACATTGCAGATAACTCACCCCCAGCCCAGAAAGCTTTGGTAAGGTGTAATTGACATAGGATAACTGCACATGTTTAAAATGTACAGTTTGGTCAATTCTGATACATGTATACAGCTGGGAGTTGCCCTTTCCTCTGGTTGTCTTATGTACACTGGGAAGAGGGCTGGGTGTGGTGGGGTAGGGGGTGGCTCATGCCTGCTTTGGGACTGCTGTTAGTAATTCATGGGCAAGTGTGAAAGCCCCTTCCCCTCCAGTTATACGCTCTGACACACTGTAAAGCAGGGTGTCCTCACTGCTCCCCAAAGAGCTCCTTCTGTACAGGGGTGGGGTGGAGGCACAGAATAGGGCTCTGAGATGGCCTCTCTGCTTCAGACAAGAAGACTTCTCATCTCCTGTTTTGCATGGGGCAATCCCTTCTGTAAGTTTTCACTGTAAGCAAAAGGGTTCTGTTAACTAGAATTTGTGAAGACTGCACTTGAGAGAAATGGTGGTGCACTGCTGAGTGGTTTTAAGTTAAGGATTAGCATGGTCAGATTGCACTTTAGACATACCAGTGCAGATTGCAGTGCTAAGAGCAGATCAATGGGGCAGAGTGGATTTGGGGGGATCTGCCAGGAAGTGGGGGTAGAGAGGAGAGGACAGAGTGAAGAACTGTTTAGGAAGTGGCTAGGAAGTGGCATTGATTAGATTCAATGGTGGGGTTGGGGGGTGGGGGGTGGGAGAGGGAGGGGTCTCAGATAATGGCCCTGGTTCAGGTGCTGGTGACAGGTGGCCAGTGGTGTGTCTCCTTGAGGTGGGTGGCACAGGAGGAGAAGGCATGTTGGGGGAAGGCAGTGGGCTTGGTCTGGACATGTTAATTTGAGATCGCTGTTTCTTTTACATTTGTCCATGTGGTTGTCAAACGTACATCATCTAGAAGTAACAGGCTCTGGCTCTTTCCAGCACAGCAGGTTTTTATCCATGCCACACCCTCTTCCCCGCATCTGCACAGCCACAGGGAAGGAAGCTGGCTGGAAGTGGCATGAAGAGAGCTGATAGATGTGTGGAGGGTGGTGAGTGAGATTTTTCAGGGGAAACTAGGAGGATTTCATTTGGCTCCAGCAAGCTGAGTATTCTGGGGTGGGGTCAGCCCCAGCTCTAGGGAGGCTTGGGTCGCATCCGTGAGAGGTGGGCCTGCCTGCAGGCAGAAGGCTCGTGAGCCTCTCTCACCAACTTGAGGATTGACTCAGGTTGGTGTTTGCTCTCTAATAAAGGCTTTTGAGGCTGACAGCTTGGAAGACTGTGGGCTGGTGATGGGTTCACTGGGACGGCAGGGGTGTTGACGCCAGAAGGTTCTGGACCGAGGTAGATAGCAAAGTATCCTGAGGTACTTAAATTGTTATCTCCGAAATCAGACTTGGGGCCAGAGGAGTTTTAGAACTGGGTTTGAGCAGTGAAATGACATAGGCCTCCTATGAAATACTAATGGAAAAAAGGGGTTGGTTGCTAAACAGATCATACTGAAAACACCAATTTATACATTAGTGGATTTCTTCTTTTTTTTTTTTTGAGGTTATGCCTAGGTTTTACTTTACTAAATATCACAGGTAAAAATTTAATCCATGCCAACAGTAAATATGTAGCCACTGTTTCGTTGCAAACATCCAAGCTACAGGTGGTCAGCCCAGGAACTGGTAGGAAGATTTTCACCGGCTCTCAGTCCCTGGAGGCACCCTTTGAGAACAATCTTAGATTGGGGTGCTTTTCCTACCTAGTTTATAAAATTAGTCTTATGATTTGATGATAATTTTTCCTAACTAATACTCTAATAATTATCTATCTAATTACATTATAATCTAATTAGATTATCTAATAATCTAATAACGACTCTAGGAATCTTCCTTTGGAACAATCAAATTTTGTAATTTTTTCCTTCCAGTTTTATTGAGATGTAATTGACATGTACCATATGTAAGTTTAAGGTGTAAACTGTGTGTTGATTTGATACACATGTATATTGTGAAATGTTTGCCATAGTAGGTTAATGAACATATCCATCACCTTATACATTTTACCTGTTTTTGTTTGTGTATGGTGAGAACATTTAAGATTTACTCTTAGTAACTTTCAAGTATATAATACAGTATTATTAACTATAGTCACCATGTTGTATATTAGATCCCCAGGACTTATTCGTCTTATGTTTCAAAGTTTGTATCCTTTTGACCAACAACTCCCCATGTTCCCCACCCCAGCCCTTGGCAACCACCATTATACTCTCTGTTTCTATGAATATGGCTTCTTTTAGATTTTTATATTCTACATATAAATGAGATCATATGGATTTGTCCTTCTCTATTTGACTTACTTCACTTAGTTTAATGCCCTCAGGGTCACAGATAGCAGGATTTCCTTCTTTCTCATGGCTGAGTAATAATCCCATTGCATATATATGCTACACTTTATCCATTCATCTGTCAGTGGACTCTTAGGCTGCTTCCATGTCTTGGCTATTATGAATAATGCTGCAGTGACAATGGGGGCTGTTTCTCTGAGGTAGTGATTTCATTTCTTTTGGCTATATACCCAGAAGTGGGATGGCTGCATCATATGATAGTTCTATTTTTAATTTTTTGAGGAAACTCTATACTATTGTTGATAGTGGCTGTAGTTAGTGGATTTGTTTACAGCAGGATGTTCTCGATCCTTTAATTGTTAATATCCATGTAAGGTTCTGAGGGAGAGATATCATAGGTATCATTTCCCCTATGTAGTTGATTCCCTGAGCACTTTTTTCATAGTGAATTGTGAGGGACCAGTGTTTGTTAGGACACACTTTGGGAAATGTAGAAATAATACTTTCCATTGTTTCTTTGCTTTCCAAAGAAACCAAAAGTTTTCCTGTTATAACTTGGGACCTGGAATTCAGGAAGTTTCCATGTAACTGGTGTCCTGTTCTCCCTACATCTCTACATCAGAACTCATCAGAATTTATTACCTAATGATAAATAGATGCTATGTGAGTAGTTCTATTGTTTTTTTTTTTTAAAGGTGTTTAAATTCTGGTGGCCTCCAAGTATAATGAAAGGTCTGTTTCTCCCCACTCTGGGTTGACACAATTCTGGGCCATGATATGTTAGACTCCAGTCTTTGTGCACCTTGCAAAATGCAAAGAGGTGCCATAGAGGTAAGTGGATGTTAGTGTTTAGAGTCTTCATGCTGTATGGAGATGCTGTGGCTCAGTCCTTCTGTCACTACCAGCCCTCTTGTTCTTCATGCAAGTTGTTAACTTGCCAATCTCTTTGAATACCTAGATCTCAGGGTCATTCACTGTGCTGGACTATCTTTCTAAGCTAGTTTGTTGAGCCACATTTCCAGAGACAAAAACAACTTCTTCCTTGGGGAATATGAACATATTATAGTATATGTAACATACATATTATATATAGCAGCCTCTCTCCTTCCCCACCTAGGAACTGGATGCATTTCAGCCATACCCTGTTGAAATAATACCAGGCAAGATCTACCTAGGCAATTTCAGGCAAGCCTGTGACCCTCAAATTCAGAAGGATTTGAAAATCAAAGCACATGTTAACATCTCCATGGAGGCAGGACCATTGTAAGTAGAAATACTGTTGTTTTTTTTAGATTAAGTGTCACTCATTTATACAAGATTCCTAGTGCCCTGCATTTATAGAGTTGAATGGGCTCTCAGACATCACCACACACTGAAGTAGGGCCTGTACTTATCTTCACGTATTCCTGGCTTGAGGTCTAGCTTGACCATGGTATCCTCTGCCCCTAACCAAGACCCCATACTTACCCTTTAAATCTCACCAAAAGTAATGCTTCCCTGGTATTTAACACTATCCAGGTAGTATGTAACGTTGTACAAAGTATTGTGTCCTACCTTGCTTTGTCTAGCTTAGGCAAATGACCTATTGAGGAATGACCCCTGTCTTAGTCCATTTTGGCTGCTATAACAGAACACCATAGACTGGTGGCTTATAAACAACAGAAATTTATTTCTCATGGTGTAGAGGCTAGGAAATCCAAGATCAAGATGCTGGCGGATTTTGTGTCTGGTGAGAGCCTGCTTTCTCGTTCATAGACAGCTGTCTTCACTGTGTCCTCACCTGATGGAAGTGGCTAGCGAGCTCTCTGGGGCCTCTCTTGAAAGGGTACTAATCCCATTCATGAGGGTTCCACCCTCATTACCAGATTTACAGTTCCACCTTAAAAAACCTCCAAAAATCCAGAAAACAACTAAAATAAGGGTTTTCAGACAATGGGTAACAGCAAAGGATAGTGATTCCTGAAAGAAGGGGAAAATACCAAGATGAGCCCCACAATCAATCTGGCTCATTTCTAGGGGATAATTTGCAGGTCACAGTTCAGGAAGGGTGCCAAAACAGATCCTGTCATTCTTTCTGAGTTGACAGCACAGTTTTGAGAATTCAGAGAGGTCAGGTTGTCTAAAATTTGCAGGAGAGACCTTTATGGATAATAGCTAAATACAAAGAAGGAGCTCTGGACATCTGCAGAGTCCCACTGTATCTTCAGCTGAGTACTTCTAAACAGATGCATGTGAGGAAACTACTCAAGGCTGGGAGAATAACCAACAGAAATGAATAAGCAGTATAATCTCCAGAGATTATATGGGGCCAGGAGTAGTTTGTGTTTCAAGTCAGAGTAGACAAAACTCATGCTATACAGGGTGTCAAATGGAGCACTCAGAAAAACATTACCTTAGTGGTGACACAAAGCTAGCTCTAGATTAGGGATGAAAAATACAATGTCTGAGAAGAGAAATACCCTGGGTGGAAATAATGCAGATTTATAATCTACATTAATACAATGGAAAAAATGATTAGTGAATTAGAAGACCTAGCAATAGAAAATATCCAAAAATAACATAGGGATGAAAAAGACTTAAATAAAAATAACCCGTAACAGAACTTCAGTGACAGCTTAAACTTGCTTAACATGTATAACTAGAATCTCCAAAGGAGTGGAAAGTGGGGAGACAGAAAACATATTTGAAGAAATAATGGTCCCAAATTTCCAAATTTGATATAAACTGTAAATTCACAGATCCAAGAATCTTAACAGAATTCAAGCACAAGAAACATGAAGAAAACTACAGCAAGGCACATCATATCAAATTGCTTAATATCAGTGAAAAAGAGGAAAGCTTAAAAGTAGCTAGAGAAAAAAGAAGTATTACATACCAAGGAACAAAAAAGTAAGGATGGTAGCAAACTCCTTATTAGAAAAAATGGATTTGAGAAGAGTATGAAGAAAGAAAAAATTGTCAACCTAGAAGTAAATCAGTGAAAATATCTTTCAAAACAAAGAGAAAATAAGTATTTTTTCAGGCATATAAGAGTTTAAAAAATTCATTACCAGCAAACACTATAAAAAATATTGAAGGAAGGCTTTCAAGCAAAGGAAAGCAATACCAGATGGAAATCTGAATCTATATAAAAATAATCAAAATCACCAGAAGTGATAATTATGTCAATAAATATAGAACACTTTTCTCCTTGGTTTTAAATCTCTTCAAAAGATAATTAATTATTTAAAGAAAAAAAAAACAATGTATTTGGATATTATAAATTATGTAGAAGAAATATGCATGCCCACAATTTACTAAGGCAGGAAGGGGAAAAATGAAAGTATATACTTGGTAGGTTCTTAACTCTGTTTATGTGAAGGGGTGTAATGTTACTTGAAGGTAGACCACAGTAAGATAAAGATGTATCTATAAATTCTAAAGCAACCATGAAAAAATAGAAGAAAACTAAAAAATAAGACAAAGAGATATAATCAATAAGACAAAAAAGAGATAAAATGGAATCATAAAAAAACTCAGACTCAAAGAAGAGAAAAAGAGGAAAAAGGGAATAAAAAGATGAGATAGATAGATTCAAACGTAGTCATATGAAAAAATCACACTAAGTACAAATGATCTAAATACTCTGATTAAAAGGCAGGGTTTATAGGCTGTCTGTAAGAAATGTACTTTAAATAGGTTAAAAATAAAAATGGAAAAATATTCAGACTAAGACTAATTAAAAAGCAAACTTCTGGAGTGGTTCTATTATTATTAGAAAATAATATTACCAGAGATAAAGATCTTGCACATCTTGTGTCAGATTTCTTCCTAAATATTTGATATTTTGATGCAATTATAAGCGGTATTTAAAAATTCTCAATTTGATTGTCTTTGCTAGGGTATAAAATTGGTTTTTTAATATTAACCTTCAATCTTCTCCATCCAGATGCCTCCTCTGTGAAGCTTTCCTCAGCTCCCTTGACTTCCCTGCCCCTCCTGTCCAGGTTCATGGGCAGGTCTTTTTTTAAAAAATTTAATTAATTAATTAATTATTACATTTTGCTATCATTAATGTACAATTACATGAACAACATTATGGTTACTAGAGTCCCCCTATTATCAAGTTCCCCCCACATACCCCATTACAGTCACTGTCCATCAGCATAGTAATTTCCTATAGAATCACTACTTGTCTTCTCTGTGTCATACTGCCTTCCCTGTGTCCCCCCCCACCCCAACCTACATTATGTGTGCTAATCATAATGCCCCTTTTTCCCCCTTATCCTTCCTTCCCACCCATCCTCCCCAGTTCCTTTCCCTTTGGTAACTATTTGTCCATTCTTGGGTTCTATGAGTCTGCTGCTATTTTGTTCCTTCAGTTTTTTCTTTGTTCTTATACTCCACAGATGAGTGAAATCATTTGGTACTTGTCTTTCTCTGCCTGGCTTATTTCACTTAGCATAATACCCTCTAGCTCCATCCATGTTGTTGCAAATGGTAGGATTTGTTTTCTTCTTATGGCTGAATAATATTCCATTGTGTCTATGTACCACATCTTCTTTATACATTCATCTACTGATGGACATTTAGGTTGCTTCCATTTCTTGGCTATTGTAAACAGTGCAGCGATAAACACAGGGGTGCATCTGTCTTTTTCAAACTGGAGTGCTGCATTTTTAGGGTAAGTTCTTAGAAGTGGAATTCCTGGGTCAAATGGTATTTCTATTTTGAGCATTCTGAGGAACCTCCATACTGCTTTCCACAATGGTTGAACTAGTTTACATTCCAACCAGCAGTGTAGGAGGGTTCCCCTTTCTCCACAACCTTGCCAACATTTGTTGTTGTTTGTCTTTTCAATGATGGCGATCCTTACTGGTGTGAGGTGATATCTCATTGTGGTTTTAATTTGCGTTTCTCTGATGATTAGCAATGTGGAGCATCTTTTCATGTGCCTGTTGGCCATGTGAATTTCTTCTTTGGAGAAGTGTCTGTTCAGCTCCTCTGCCCATTTTTAAATTGGATTATTTGCTTTTTGTTTGTTGAGGTGCATGAGCTCTTTATATAATTTGGATGTCAACCCTTTATCAGATGTCATTTATGAATATATTCTCCCATACTGTAGGATGTCTTTTTGTTCTACTGATGGTGTCCTTTGCTGTACAGAAGATTTTTAGTTTGATATAGTCCCACTTGTTCATTTTTGCTTTTGTTTCCCTTACCTGGGGAGATATATTCATGAAGAAGTTGCTCATGTTTATGTCCAAGAGATTTTGCCTATGTTTTTTCCTAAGAGTTTTATGGTTTCATGACTTACATTCAGGTCTTTGATCCATTTTGAGTTTACTTTTGTGTATGGAGTTAGACCGTAATCCAGTTTCATTCTCTTACATGTAGCTGTCCAGTTTTACCAACACTAGCTGTTGAAGAGGCTGTCACTTCCCCATTGTATATCCATGGCTCCTTTATCATATATTAATTGACCATATATGCTTGGGTTTATATCTGAGCTGTCTAGTCTGTTCCATTGGTCTATGGGTCTGTTCTTGTGTCAGTACCAAATTCTCTTGATTACTGTGGCTTTGTAGTAGAGCTTGAAGTCAGGGAGTGTAATTCCCCCCACTTTATTCTTCCTTCTCAGGATTGCTTTGGCTATTCAGGGTCTTTTATGGTTCCATATGAATTTTAGAACTATTTGCTCTAGTTCATTGAAGAATCATGGGCTTTATGCCTGAACCTGGTCAACCAGATTGGGGCCATTTGTGTGTCTGGGCCTCCTCCCCCGTCAGATTGGGAGCTCTTTGAAGCTGGGAGAGGCTCTGTTTGATTTATCTTGTGTCCACTAGGGTCTGGCCCAAGGTCCAGCCCCCAGGAGGCAATGAGTGAGGAGTGAGTGTCTGAGGAAAGAGGAGATGGATGGATGGATGTGTGGATAAGGAATTGTGCGTGTATTTGTCACAGCTAGTGTACATGCAGAAACTAAACCAGCCAATTTTTGCTTCTGAAGCCACTGCAACTTTCTTCTTGCCACAGTGGTCTATATACTGCTGAATGTTCCCCAGCATGCCAGGCATTGTGTCAAGTGCCTTGCAGGCATCCTTTCACTAAATGTGCTGCACACTCCATCTCCCTCCCCTCTCCCCATTGTTCATAAAGCTCCAGCCACTCTGATATCCCTGGTGTTTCTCAAATACATTAAACCTACTGCCTCTCAGCACCTTTGCACTTGTATCCTCCTCTACCAGGGATGCCTTTTCTGGTTTGGTTCATCACCTCCTTTAAGCCTCTGTTTAAATGTTACCTCCTCAGTAAAGCCTTCCTGGACCACCCCATCTAAAACAGCTACCCCACCACTCTCCATCATCTTACCTTGCTTCCTCCATGTAACCTAACAGGTTCATTCTTCAAGGTCATTACACATTCCTTACCATCCTCATTTTTATTATCTGTACCATATTCTAGAAAAGTACCATGTTTGGTTAATAGTAATATCACTTTATTAAGCACTGACTGTGTGCCAAGCAGAGTGCTAAATGCTTTACATAGATTGACTTAATCTATGTGACACCCTGTGAGGTTGGTGCTTTCTTCTGAGAGGGCCCAGTTATTTGCCCACATCTCCCTGATGCTATCTCAGCATCCTTCTCCCACGGTCCTGCTGCTGTGGAAGAGGGATGCAATGTGGGGCTGTGTGGGAGTCTGCCTAATTACTTGTGCTTTTCTTCTGTTTAGTTTCAAAGGTGATGCTGACAAGCTTCTGCACATCAAGATAGAAGATTCTCCAGAAGCCAACATTTCCCCCTTTTTACGCCACCTCTGTCACTTCATTGGTGAGGAGCATTTTTTAACCACACAGCATCTGATCTGAGCCCAGAAGGCAGAGAGGCTGTGGCACCTTGTCTGATGCCTGTTCCTGCAGTCTCCACACCCAGAGCTCAGGAGAGAAAGGGCAGGGCCCCTCACAAGCCCAGGCAGGTGTGGCCAAGCCCCAGGACAAGCCTGCATCTCAGGAGCTCTCGGCAATGTGGGCAGCCACGCATTTGAGGTAGAAGAGCCAAATAACAGCACTGACTGTGGATTGAGTGCTCATGTTCTGGCGCTGGCTGAACTGCTATGCCCTTTTGGGTCTTTCATGTCCTGGTTCTGGCCTCACTGTGTTGTTGGCCTGTGGTGGAATGAGGGTGTTGGCCTACCATGGGTACAGACATTCATGGACGCCTGCTCTGGTCTGGACTCTGGGGACCTGGAGGTAAACCTCACTCTGTCCCTGCCCTCCTGTCTGGTCAGGGGGGTGGGATGGAAGGACTCTGCAGCCCATCCAGCTCTGACTCCCATGATCTGCTGTGTGCCCCCAGGGCCCCTGCTGGCCTCCCTCCACACACAGCAGTGCCCACCAGTGCCCACTCATTGAACATGGAGTTTTCAGTCATTCCAGGGCCCAGGATTGCCAAGGAAAGCAAGAGCAAGACGGCTGGAGAGAGTGAGGTGGAGCCAAGCCAGGAGCCCCACCCCAGGACTGCCTGCTCGGCACCATCGCAAACCCCAGCTTGCATTGCTGCATGAGGTGCTGGAGGACAGCATTTGCCACAAACGTCCCTTTTTTTGCCCAGGAGGTTGCAACTATCACTTGACTAGTATCTGAGACTGAGACTTGCCATGTGTCCCACCATGAGGTGCCAGAGCCCTATGCCACAAAGAGAGCCTCTCTCTAGCCCCCCTCACTGGGCAGCTCTGGGCCAGTCCTTAATCAGTCCATGCCTCAGTTTCCTTACCCATATGATGAGACACTTGACCTTAATCATTTCTGAGCCCTCCTCCAATCATTTCTGAGCCAGTCTAGGATGCTAGCTTCAATTTCCTCCCCTCCCCTTAACTGGGCAGGACTCAGGGCCTAAGGGACATTATTGAATGTGATTACAGCTGATGTTTCTGTGCCAAGCACTGGGCAATACAAAATGTAGGTAGTGTACTGTTATCCCATTTTCCAAATGAAGAAACTGGCTTAAAGCAACATGCCCACACCCACAGCCAGTGAGTAGTGGGGTCAGAATTTGCACCCAGGCTCCATTGCTTCTACCAGCACCCAAATGCCCTTGGGGGATAATCCTGTCATCCCCTCCCAGGGAGGCCAACTAGCAGCAGGGCTCCCTGGGGTGGATGCCTGGAGAGCCAAGAAAAGGCCTTTGCAGGATAATACTGAACACCTAGGTGTGATTCTCTTGAACTACCAGCTAGGCCTGAGGATCCCATCTGCCAGGTGATGAAGCTCTCCTAGAAGTGACTTGCTGTGTGCTGTTTCTAAGCTTACTCATGGACCGTGTGCCCACTGAGCTAGTCATCCCACAGCAGCTCAGGTCCCCAGGGAAGGGGACCACTCACAATCTCCATCTTCCCTTTGTCCTGCAGAAATTCACCTTGAGCTTGACTCTGTCATCCTAGTCTTTTCCACCATGGGCATCAGTCGCAGCTGTGCGGCCATCTTGGCTTACCTCGTGCACCAGAATGAGCAGACCTTGAAGGTATTCATTCCCTGGTCTAGGCTTAGACTACAGCTACCTTCAGGAGGTGGGGTCAGATCTGGACCTGGGAGGAAAACCCCAGCACTATCTCAGGGCCCTAACTGGGGCATGGGAAGAGGAAGGGTCAGGGAGGAGATCTTCAAGTCTGGGGATTTACCTAGCACACCACTCCCATGGGCAAAGTTCCAACAGTCTGGGTTGGAGACTGAGGCTGTGACATTAGAGGCCTGAGGCTGGGCTCATGGGGCAGGCCCAGGGACCCAGGCTGGGTGTGGCTATGGCCAGCAGCACTATCTGTGTGTCCCCTACTGGTGTCAGTCTGTCCCCAGAATTTGTTCAGGGTTCTTCAAGGGAGGTGCATTTTGGCTGCTGTTTCGAGTCAGAACTGCAGGCTGGCAGGGATTCAGAGTACACCCACTCCAACAATCTTCTTTTACCCTTAAGAACAGCAGGGCCCAGAGAGGGGAAGAAAGTGGGGCCCTATCAGGATAAACCCACCAGAGTTCCTGACTCCCAGGGCAGTCCTTTCCCACTGCCACTGCACTAGGAAATGGTAGGCCTGCCCTAAGGGACGGGGACCCTTGCCTGGCATGGCTTATGCATGATTTCAGAGGGCTTGGGTAGGGCACAGAAAGCTCCTTCATGTACCCAGGGGTGTGCTTGAAGGAAGGGGAGGGACAAATACTGAATGGGTCAGAGCCCATTGCCAGTAGTTTTAGACGTTGACCCTGTATGCTCTTTGGGGGTGAAACTGCAGGCTAGAAAGTCTTGGGTATCTAGCAATTCCACTTCTGGGTGTAGACCCAGGGTTCCCTCATATATAACAAGTTGTTTTTCTCTTGCTGCTTTAAAGATTCCCTCCTTATCTTTAGCTTTTGGCAATTTAATTATAATATATCTTGGTGTGGATCTATTTGGGTGTGTCTTGTTTGCAGTTCTCTAGGGTTCCTGATTTGGATGTCTGTTCCACCCTAGCTTAGGTCAGTGTTTTCAGCCATTATATCTCCAAATAAGATTTCTGTCCTTTTCTCTCTCTTCTCCTTCTGGGACCCCTGCAATATAAATATTAGTCTTTTTGGTGTTGTCCCATAAGTTTCTTAAGCTATTTTCACTGCTGTTCATTCTTTTTACTTTTTTAAAAATTTTATTTTGGTATCATTAATCTACAATTACATGAAGAACATTATGTTTACTAGACTCCCCCCTTCACCAAGTCCCCCCTACATACCCCATTACAGTCACTGTCCATCAGCATAGTGAGATGCTGTAGAATCACTACTTGTCTTCTCTGTGTTGCACAGTGATCCCAGTGTGCCCCCCTCCGATTATACATGCTAATCGTAATGCCCCCTTTCTTTTTCCCCGCCCTTATTCCTCCCTTCCCACCCATCCTCCCCAGTCCCTTTCCCTTTGGTAACTTAGTCCATTCTTGGGTTCTGTGAGTCTGCTGCTGTTTTGTTCCTTCAGTTTTTCTTTGTTCTGATACTCCACATATGAGTGAAATCATTTGGTACTTGTCTTTCTCTGCCTGGCTTATTTCACTGAGCATAATATCCTCTAGCTCCATCCATGTTATTGCAAATGGTAGGATTTGTTTTCTTCTTATGGCTGAATAATATTCCATTGTGTCTATGTACCACATCTTCTTTATCCATTCATCTCCTGGTTGCTTCCATTTCTTGGCTATTGTAAATAGTGCTGTGATAAACATAGGGGTGCATATGTCTTTTTCAAACTGGGCTGCTGTATTCTTAGGGTAAATTCCTAGAAGCAGAATTCCTCGATCAAATGGTATTTCTATTTTGATCTCTTTGAGGAAGCTCCGTATTGCTTTCCACAATGGCTGAACTAATTTACATTCCTACCAGCAGTGTAGGAGGGTTCCCCTTTCTCCACAACCTCGCCAACATTTGTTTTTTGTCTTTTGGATGGTGGCGATCCTGTGGTTTTAATTTGCATTTCTCTGATGACTAGTGATGTGGAGCATCTTTTCATGTGTCTGTTGGCCATCTGAATTTGTTCTTTGGAGAACTGTCTGTTCAGCTCCTCTGCCCATTTTTTAATTGGATTATTTGCTTTTTGTTTGTTGAGGTGCATGAGCTCTTTATATATTTTGGATGTCAATCCTTTATC